AGGGTGTTCTTCTTAGTGTGTTAGCTGGACTAAAAAATGTGAACTTAAGGGGCAGGGAAATGGTGCAGTTGGAAAACTGCTAATGTGCAATTTGAAAAACAGGCGGAGGGAATTAAGACACATTAGGCGTGTGCATTTTTTAAGCAGCGGACATGCACTGAATATTGGAAAATTCAAAACAGGTAAAAGAAAGTCTGTGGAACTCACTCCCCCAGGAGGCAGTGATGGCTACCAATTGGGATTTCTGTAAAAGAGGACTGATAAATGGAGGATAAGGTTATCCAGGGCTGCTAGCCATGATGTCTATGCTTTGCATTCACAGTCGGAGGAAGCAATGCTGTTGAATATCAGTTGCTGGAAACCAGAGGAGGAGAGGGTGCTCTTCTGCTTGGGTCCTGACTCTGTGTTTCCCACAGGAACCTGGTTGGCTACTGGAGAAGTGTGAATTTCAAAGGATGGCTGCATTTCAGTTTGCACACTGTTTCGGAAAGTTCAAATTACGAACGTCTGCCTTCAAATCAAATTTACTCCCCATCCCTAACTGCCCCATTGGCTTCAATACATAGGTGAGGAGGTGACGCCATCTTAGCTTTTGCCTCAGCTGGTCAAACATCTTGGACCAGCTCTGCATCCTGACACGCTGTGAGCGAGGTGCCTTCAGCCTTTTATCTCTAGGTTAGAGATCCCTGGAAAGACAGAATTGGAGGAAGAGGAGTCCTTAACACGGATCCTTCACCCATTCTTCATTTCCCTCTCCATCGAGTCCTCTGCACGCAGCTGTGTCTTACTGTCACCGGAGCACTCTAATTAATTAAAAGCAAAATTGATGAAGGGGGTACAAGTATTTTTATTTGTGATCATGAAAGGAAATTGTCGGTAACATGTCTAAAAGGGCCACTCGGGAGTGATGCCGAAGTAATTGTGTGTGAAAATGGAGCAGGGAACCTCAGTGTGATTTCAAACGTAAATGCTTTATTACGATGCACACTAAAGAGGGGAAGGAATGGATCTCAGGCATCAGGGATTGGGAAATCACCTCCCCTGTGAACATCGTAAGGCCCACCGGTTCATTTCAGTCAGATTGCACCCATCTGCCCCACGTCAAATGTGGGGCAGATGAAAACACAGGTGAGCTGAAAGGGAGTGGGCTCCAGGCTCACACATGCCATCTCTCTCCCTACTTAGAAGAAGATGCCTGATGGATCAGCCATTGGCCCATCTGGTCCAGCATCTTGTTCTCACAGCGGCCAACCAGATGCCTAGGGGAAGCCAGCATTATTGAACACAGCCACTTTATCCAGCATACTGTATCCAGAAAAGCAAACTCAGCGATGACTTTCAGCCATATGTCATGAAATGCTAGATCTGTATGCTGCTCCCCCATGTGTTGAACCTGGAACTGTAAGGGATAGCTTCTAAAAGTAGTATCTTCAGCTCCAGAGCTGTCTCCACCTGCCCAAGCTGGAGAGGAAGGATAAGAGCACTTCCTGTTTCAGTTGAGTCTTGCTTGAGCCACAAGGTCTTCTTGGTGCGTTCCTTATTCTTGACTCTTCTTTTGTCCTGTCTGTTGACTTGGTTCCAGATCCTGCTTCCTTCTTGTCCTCTAGTTCCACTGTAATCTTTGGCTTCATCTTCTAGCTTGCTTCTTAATCTTAGCTCATGGTTGGCCCTGTGGTTCTGATTTACTCTTCAGGCCTGACAATTGCTTGGTTCCCTGGTTCAGACTGCTGTCCATAGCCCAGCTCTGACACAATCTGAGACTGGTTCCTTTGTTGCCCAGAAAGAACATCAAAATAACATATGGAGACCTGTTGGTCTAGTCACAGTCTAATGATTATCGGCTTGTGGTAACATGGAGGTGGGCTTTTTCACTTGAAATTTGAGAGGTCCCATCTACATTGACATTCTGATGGCTTTTGAAGATGCACCTGTTTACACAAGCATTCCTTTAATCTCTCAACCTGAGTCTCCAGCTTTAATTGCTGTGTTGTTTTAATGAGATGGTTTATTGCATATTTTAATGATAGATGATTATATTTTAATGCTTTAATGAAATTACTTTAATTATGAACGTGTATAGTTTAATGCTGGCGCTGTGGTCTAAACCACTGAGTCTAGGGCTTCCCGATCAGAAGGTCGGCGGTTCGAATCCCTGCGACGGGGTGAGCTCCCATTGTTCGGTCCCAGCTCCTGTCCACCTAGCAGTTCGAAAGCATGTCAAAGTGCAAGTAGATAAATAGGTATCGCTGCAGCGGGAAGGAAAAGGGTGGTTCTGTGTGATGCTCTGGTTTTGACAGAAGCGGCTTAGTCATGCTGGCCACATGACCCGGAAAAACTGTCTGTGGACGAACGTCAACTCCCTTGGCCAGTAAAGCGAGATGAGCGCCCCAACTCCAGAGTTGTTTGTGACTGCACTTAACTGCCAGGGGTCCTTTACCTTTGCCTTTTTATAGTTTAATGTGCTTGTAATTACTTTTTCTACTTAGAAACCACTTAGAAACCAATTTAGGAATTCAGCAGTATAAAAAGGTAAAGGACCCTGGACAATTAAGTCCAGTCAAAGGAGACTATGGGATTGCGGTGCTCATCTCGCTTCAGGTCAAGAGAGCTAGCGTTTGTCCACAGACAACTTTCCGGGTCATGTGACCAGCATGACTAAACTGCTTCTGGTGCAACAGGACACTGTGATGGAAGCCAGAGTGCACAGAAATGCCGTTTATCTTTATTAAGCAGTATATAAATTGCTTAATAATAATAATAATAATAACTGGACTTTTCCCAGAATTGTTCAGAGTAATATACAACACAAGTAAAAGTAAAATACATGAAAAATCCAAACACATTATGGCATGTTTTTGTGGACTGGGCACAACCAGACTAACACTTCATTTTCGTAACAAATTTATGTTACTGGCCTCCTAAGACTTGTATCTGACAAATCATATAACCCTTTAAGAAAGGGGTGGGGGCTGGAGAATAGGCTTCCCCATTAAACCTTCTGCTCAACTCCCTTAATTTTCAACCATTAGTTCGTTTCCCTGTCCAATATTTCTAACATGGGTCCAATACCACTGATGGCTCCAGTTCCCCATGGAAGCGAAAATCTTCCAGCTACCTTGTTTCATCAAGCTATTAAGATGTCTAAAACCCCTTGGAGGCTTAGATTAGTAGATCTGAACTTTTTTTGGAGAGGGGGAAAAACCTTAGCTTCCATCCTTCTGAGAAATGTTTATGGGTGAATGATTTTTCTACCATTTCCAAAGATTTATTGGTTTAATTTAACACCACTGTGAAAACGGAAACATCCCTCTCCATTCCAGACCTGTGGCCTGCAAAGGCGGCTATGCCTCCGACACTATCTTCAATTCTCCACTCAAGAACAGATGTCCAAACTTTCAGCCTGTTGTCACCGAAGGCCCAAGGAATCTGGGATGTCATTGTACTGAGTAGCTTTTCTGGCTGCTCAGAGTCAATAGGTAGAACAACAGCACCATAAAGCAACAGGAAGCAATTGCTGTTGGCGGCATATTCCAAAGGGGGCGCTCTTTTCTGACCTCCATCTGCTAGAGCGAGAGATCAGAGCAGAGTAGAACACCTTCCTTTTCCTTTGCTTACTGGTAGGTACCACAGAACATCTTCAGGTGTTTAAAATGAATGTGTAAGGCTCAAACTGGGGACGAGAGTGAGTGTTTATAAAATTATGCATGGTAGACAGGAAGTTGGTAGAGAAAAGTTGTTTTCCCTCTTTCCTAACACTAGAACTTGTAGACATCCAATGTATGCAAGATTGATTTTTGTTTGCACCTGACTGTCTCAGGAGACAATGCAAGAGTGTACCTTTGGCGATAAGGTCAAACCATAGGAGAGTTACAGTGCCTGCTGTAGCTGAAAAGACCAATATGGGAGAGACATGTTTTATTGAAGGTGGGGCAGATGAAGGGATCTGGTTTTGCTGCTTCAGGTACACCATGGCGTTTCTTCTCTTTGTGCCCCTCCTAGTGGTCATTTCTCCTTTGGTCACTGCTGTGGATACGTGACCTGACTGTCTTCTGTCTCCAGGCACTGTGATCTTCTGCAAGGGGTTCTCATATGTGCCAGCGTTCATGTTGCACTGGCAGCCATCTTTGCAACACAGAGCTGGAGACTTATTCACGCTGTGCACAGTTAAACTATGGAACTCACTCCTACAGGAGACAGTGGTGGCCACCAACCTGGATGGCTTTAAAAGAGGATTAGACTAATTCATGGAGGAGAGGGCTATCAATGGCTACTAACCATGATGGTTATGCATGCCTCCATGGATGGAGGCAACAATGGTTCTGAAGAGCTATTGCCAGAAACCACAAGAGGATAGAGTACTCTTGTCCTCAGAAACATTGCTTGCATGTTTCTCACAGGCATCTGGTTGGTCACTGTGAGTACAGGATGCTGGGCTAGATGAGACATTGGTCTGATCCAGCAGGGCTCTTCTGAAGTTCTTATGCATGCCAGTAGTCCCCGCTCCACTCCTGACCTCACACTGAATGGGAAGGTCTAAAGGGAACATCTAAGTGCATTTGGCTAAAAGCGTAGAGAAGCCTCCTTGCAATCAAGGGAGCCTGAAAGCATAGAGGTCCCAGTCATGGGGAGGTTTCTAAGCACACTGAGCTGAATTTTGCTAGAAGCCTCCCTTCAGACCTCAACCAATGTGGTTGGTGTAGAAAAGCTCAGGGACACAGGGGAGAATGGCTAGCATATGCCACAATGGCCCACTCCCTGACCCTCGCCTGCTCCTTTTGAACAACCCAGAGAAGGCTAGATTCTCACAAATAGGCCTTCCAAGCTTCCAGAGCCTCATTACTATTGTTTTTACATTTTGCACCTTTTTATAGTAATTATAAAAGAATTGCGGCATTGTCTTTTTTTTTTTAAAGTGTTTGTTAATTTTCCAATAAAAACATCCAATTAACATATCATATCAAATCAAATCCAATAAAAATAAAAAAATAAAATAAAAAAAGGTCCAATTGTCTTCCAAATTGTAATAATTTTGTTTTGACTTCCCACGGTCTGAATTTCGAAGCGCATTCAACATCATAGTCCTGCCTCTCATCAACCTCAATGTTATTCATAATTCCATGTCCGATTTTTCCCTTCCACATTTTGACTCTGGTTCTACGATCCTCACTCATGTCAGAAAACCGATACTTTTTTTTCCTATGGAGTGCAGATTTGTCCGTATATTGTACTCCTTGAGCTGTTTTTTCATCACACCGATTCATTTAATTGTATCCAATTTCAAAGTTCTGTCCAGCTCTTTGAGAGTTGTTATTTTGGCAGCTCCCAGATCGTTAATCTTTCCCGTCCAGGTGTTATCAAAGAAACAGAGAGAAATTTCCTTCTGTACCCTCCTTGTTGATTTATCTTAAACAGACTGTTTGCAATGTAGCCATATATCAGACAGTTAGTAATAGCCTTTGGAATCTTCCCATTCCCCCTTCTGGGCCCTAGAGGGGGGCTGCCAGACATCCATTTAGCCCTCTCTCTCTCGCTCGTAATCAAAAAAACATCTTTTTGCAAACAGTTGTATATGTAATATTGTTTCCAGTCTTTATAACCAACCATCCGTTAGCTCCTGTTTCTCTTAATCAGGGAAGTATTTCAGATATTCAATAACAACGTGGTGGGAGACGCCATTTTGTCCTTTGTCCTTTGTTTTCGTCTTTAACAGACATTTCCGGTCTTAGAAGAGAAGTGGCTGCGAGTAGATCCCAATTATATATGAAAGTCCATCTGAACTCACTTTTTGAAGAGCAATTTAAGTTCTTAATGAGACTTGGCATGCATTACGGATTGTTGATGTTAAGGATAAAAGAATGTTTTTTTACATACCAAGCCCCTCCACATTCCAAACGTCATGATGAGGATCTCTTTGAAGTTCGATCTTTTGCACCAGAGACTGTACATACTGCAGGTTTTTTCCAGCTTCTTCAATTCAGAGCGTGTCTGTTTGTTTTCCAAATCTTTATATTTTCCCAAACAGATGCGTCCGGCTATGGGGTGGCATCGCAGGAGTGTCAGCCGTCCCTAGCTCCGTGACCCAGTGCCCCTGCCGTCTGCCACATCGGCAATCTGGGGCAGACCGCGGGTCATTGAGACAGTCCTCCCCTGCCCTGGGGAGGCTGCCAGGGCTAATTACCCCCATATCAGCCCTGAATTATCGGAACGGCTAAAGTCCGATTGTGTGGGATCAGCCATTTTCCACCGCCGGAAACAGGAAGTATTGCGGCATTGTCAAAATGACTCAGAAGGCATGGAGACAAGCTTGTTTTATGCTGCTCTGGAGCGCAGGACCTAAACCACTGACAAGAAAGGAGATTTTGACAAAACATTGGGAAGAACTTCCTTATGGGAAGAGCTGTTCAATCTCCTTCATTGGAATGTTTAGAAAAGAGGTTGGATGACCACCAGTCAGGACCACAATGTTGCTGTGATTCCTGCATTGCAAGGGGTTGGACTAGACGACTCTTGGGGTCCTTCTGACTCTATGAATCTGTGCTTCTCTCCTTTCCCTAGAAAAAATAAGGCTGCTTTCTCCAAATATTCACCACAATTTTTAATATTTGGGTTTGTTTTTGTTGTTGCAGTTCCTATTTCACACAAACACAAAATGCTTTGAGGAGGGCACTACCCCTGGGATATTGTGACGGGGGACAGCAGACTTGTGGCAGCACCAAAAATATATATAAATAAATAAGAAAACCAGGAAGCTATGCCACTGTGAATGGTGGCCTACCACCTACACAAAACTGTGGGAGGGATTTCTCTTCCTCCTGGATAAATTTGGTGAAACGGGTTCACCAAATAAATGCTTCCTCTAAACCAGGGGTAGGGACACGGGTGGCGCTGTGGGTAAAACCTCAGCGCCTAGGGCTTGCCAATTGCATGGTCGGCGGTTCGAATCCCCACGGCGGGGTGAGCTCCCGTCTTTCGGTCCCAGCTCCTGCCCACCTAGCAGTTCGAAAGCACCCCTAAGTGCAAGTAGATAAATAGGTACCGCTTTAAAGCGGGAAGGTAAACGGCGTTTCCGTGTGCTGCGCTGGTGCTGGCTCGCCAGAGCAGCTTCGTCACGCTGGCCACGTGATCCGGAAGTGTCTCTGGACAGCGCTGGCCCCCGGCCTCTTAAGTGAGATGGGCGCACAACCCTAGAGTCGGACACGACTGGCCCGTACGGGCAGGGGTACCTTTACCTTTACCTAAACCAGGGGTAGTCAACTGGTCCCTTCCAGATGTAGGGACAACAACTCCCATCAGCACCAGCCAGCATGGCCAATGAGAGTTGTTATCTGCAGCATGTGGTGGATACTACCACTGCTCCACGCAACTCACAATGATATAAGCTTCTGTCAACCACAATATTAACAGACAAACCTAAAAGCGCCTCTATGAAAACTCCAGTGAAGAGCCATTGATCGTTATCCTTTGACTAATTATCTATTAATGATACCACAGTCCCTTTCAAGGTTTCAGGTTAGTTGCCAAGGCAACGCTTTCAAGAGTCATGGAAGCACACAGATTGTTGCATCACAGTTCATGAGCTGCTGTTTCACCTTCCTCGTGGCTCAGCCAATGGCTTTAGACTGGCAAGATGGGCAGTAGACAACTGATTCAAATCTTTTCTGGCTACCTTGATCCTGGCTGGTGCCTTGGCTTCCACTAAATCAGAACCACGGGGGAAAGAAACTGGAAACCACTGGGGAGTATGGATTGGCTCGAAAACAAAAGGGCAAAGTCCCTGCGGGTCTCCAATGAGAGAGAGGCATTTCAGGTATGGAGTAGGGAAACTATCTGCATGTGTTTTTGAGTGACCAGGCACTTAACATGGAGTGGGGGACACCCTGCTTTTACCTGAGCTGTTTAGATAGCTCAGATCTAAGGTCCTGCAAGCAACCAGGCCTAGGAGAAAGGCCACAGCACAGTGGTGTAATAGATTACATGCAGAAGGTTCCAGGTTCAATCCCCAGCATCTCCAGTTGGGGCTGGGAGAGACCCACAGAGCTGCTACCAGGCAGACCAGACAAGACTGAGCTAAATAGCTCAATGGTCATACGCAGTGCAAGGGAGCTTCCTGTGTTCACACATGTTCCTATCTCCCAAACTCTTCAGCTGAAGAAGATCCGGCGGTCTCTTGACTCCATGAAGACGATTAATGATAACCTGCTGAAGCAAGAGGAGAGGAAGGTGAAAAAGTGGCTGAAGAAACAAGCACAGATCTCACCCTCTTCTTCAGCCTATAAAACATTATACTACAAGGTAATGAAGAAGTCTGGAAGGGCAGGATGGCACTATAGAAACATTGTTCATCTAGTTGTCTATATACGCACAGCACAAATAGTGGAATTGTAGAATTGGAAGGGACCTGAAGGGTCATCTAGTCCAACCCCCTGCAATGCAGAAAACACAGATTCATAAGAAAGAGGGTTGTTTTGTTTTGTTTTGTTTTGTTTTGTTTTGTTTTGTTTTTAGCTACAAAATGTTGCACGCCTCTGCTTAGCTCCATTCTTGGTTCTGTAGAACATGCCTACAGATGGCTGAATCTCTTGGCTGCAGCTTCTCATTCATTCATCTTAGGTTTAGGTGTCCACATTTCCACATTAGTTTGTTATTTTTGTTAGTTTGTTTTAAATCCCTAATAATAATAATAATAATAATAATAATAATAATAATTTATTTATACCCCGCATCCATCTGGCTGGGTTTCTCCAGCCACTCTTGGCAGCTCCCAGCAGAATATTAAAAACACAATAAAATATCAAACATTAAAAATTTCCCTAAACAGGGCTGCCTTCAGGTGTCTTCTAAAAGTCAGATTGTTCTTTATTTCCTTGACATCTGATGGGAGGGTGTTCCACAGGGTGGGTGACAGTACCAAGAAAGTCCTCTGCCTGATTCCCTGAAACCTCATTTCTCACAGTGAGGGAACCATCAGAAGGCACTGGACCTCAGTGTCCAGGCTGAACGATGGGGGTGGAGACGCTCCTTCAGGTATACTGGGCCAAGGGCTTTAAAGGTCAGCACCAACACTTTGAATTGTGCTCAGAAACATACTTTAAATGTGGATTTCTCCTAATACACAAAATTTTATGTGCAATTTTGCCTTATATAATGCATTTTTGCGTACGATCTTCACTAATGTGTGCATTTTTACGGACATTTTATCCTAGTGCAAATGCATTTTTGTATACATTGCATGGCTGGGGAGGTACATTGCAAGAATTCAGAGAAGTGCAAATTTCAAAAGATAGCTGTGTTTTGGTTCACATACTGTTTCCAAAAGTGCAAATTAGGTAGGTTCACTTTTAAATGCCAACAGATCCCTAGTCACACCCAGATGCAACATGATCACTAGCACCAAACTCCTCCTAATACTAAACACAGGGCGGGGGGTTCCGACAGCTTGGTTGCCCCAATGGCCTCACCTGTGAATGAAAAGGAGGAGCTTTTGCATATTGGGGGGGGGATTTGAAGTTATTCAAAAGTCCATGACTTCTTAAATTGCAGCCCTAATGAGGGAATCCCTCCCCACAATATGCTGTATTCATCAGTACTGCACCTGCTTATTACAGTCTCAGGATACTCCGTTAACTGTTACGATTCCAAGCTGGAAGTCAGAAGAACCACAGATTGATGATAGAGAGGCAAAGAACAGCATGCCCAGATAGGCCTGACTTGAGGGGATGCGGAGACTGGTTGGGTCTGGACATGCTTGCTCTGTGATGGCAGGAGAAAGAGGGAGAAAATGTCCTGCTTCTGTGCCTCTAGAGAACGCAGAAGAAAGTGAAATTACTGGCCCAGGAGCAGGAGTGGAGCACTGTCAATTTCAGTTTCTTTCTATTTCTCAACCTTAAGTTCAGTTCACATCAGTTTGCCAGCTGAACTTTTCCCTAAAAAAACAAAAGAAGGTCCCTCCCAAAACTGCACCGGCATTTCCATAACCATTTATCCCCAGATAACGCATCTTTGCATGTGATTTTCTCTAATAGGCATCTTTTGACAACCAATTTCCCTTACTATAATGCATTTTTTTCAGTAGGATTTTCATGAATAAATGCATTCATATATTTTTTGCACATTTCCCCCTAAGACACAAATCCTTTGTACAGATTTCTTGGTTGAAGCGTTGCATCAGAAAATGTTGAAATGTGTGGATTTTGATGGGCAGGCGTGGTTTGGTTTGCATATTGTTTTGGTGAAGTGCAAACGAGGTAGGCTCGCATTAAAATGTGAACAGAACAGGATTTCTCCCCCATCCCTCCTCCCTCCCTTCAAATCCATCCTCAATACCCACTTTTTCCACTGTGTAACCTTTGGTTCAGTCCATTGGCCAGAGCAGCTGCCTGATTCTTGTAACCACTGGCATTCAACCTCCCTGCTCTGAATAATGTTTCAGACAGGACCTCCTGTCCTTAACTTCCTTCCTGTTGAGCAGGTCCCCAGCTAAGTGCTCAGGCATGGATGGTTGATGCTTTCTCAATGGGAGAGGTCCAGAGGGATCTCTGGGATAAAACAGCTGTCCTACCCCCTGCCAGCATGCTCTAAGCTAGATATCTCTCTGTGTGAACAGCAGAATAGGGAGTGTGTGCATGTGTGTTTGGAATGAGACTGCGGCTGCATTCACACAACAGTTTAATCCAGGCGTAGGCAAACTAAGGCCCGAGGGCCGGATCCGGCCCAATCGCCTTCTAAATCCAGCCTGCGGACAGTCCGGGAATCAGCGTGTTTTTACATGTGTAGAATGTGCCCTTTTATTTAAAATGCATCTCTGGGTTATTTGTGGGGCATATGAATTCGTTTATTTCCCCCCAAAAAAATGTAGTCCGGCCCCCCACAAGGTCTGAGGGACAGTGGACCGGCCCCCTGCTGAAAAAGTTTGCTGACCCCTGGTACTCCTTTCCCCCGCTATTTCCCCAACTGTTAATTTCTACATTATATCTGATGTTTCACACAATGTAAAAGTCACTTTTGGAAAACTAAAGGAACATAGTATATGCTTAGCACTCTGTGCTATTTGATTTCGAAGGTGGGGATGCAGCCCCCTTAACCCAGAAAACCACGGGAGTAAAGTGATGAAATTTGGAACAAAAAGTTATTTCTTGATGTTTTCATGGGGAACAGAAGCACACATGTGCCGAAATGGAGGGGAAGTAGCAACATTGTCTCTTTTTTAAATTTCATTTTTCATTTTACATCAAACAATAAAGTAATTTTACATCAAATTTCAAAGCCCCATTTTGACCTCTCTCCCTTCCTTTCTGTGGTTACTTATGTTTATAATACACTTGCTGCATCTCCAAGCAGAACCTAATTATTATTTATCCAATGCAATAAAAATTAATTTTATATCACTGCACGCCTTTACATTAATCCTGCAAATGAAGTAACAACATTGTCCAGTGACATTTATTGTTGTGTCACACCACGCCCACTGGTGCGAATGAAATTTAGCATGACGCATTGGCATATAAGTCAACAAGCCACAGTTCCATTAAACAACAGGTCCTGCCGTGTGAAAGGAACACTAGTATATAGCACAGAAGCACTAGCATTATAATCAGGAAAACTAATGCTATTTTCCCCATATTTGAATGCACCCTGACCAAAAGAGAAAGACTTAAGGTGGCAGTGCTAAGCTGAGAGCATCTCGTGCAGCTGTGATGCTTGGCTAGAGATCTTAAATGGGGCAATGGATTTATAGCAGTGTGACTCTTATGCCCAGCTTGCATTTTTGTAAATACACTTGAATATTGCATTGCATTTCTCCTGTGATCCCTCCTGCAAAAGGAAACCAAACCTGAGTCAGCCCTTTCCCCAGATCTTCTGCCCACTCAGTGAAGTGGGCTGCATTTGTAACAATATACTTCCATCACCCAGTATAAACTGCATGAAAAAGGTAAAGGGACCCCTGACCTTAGGTCCAGTTGCGAATTATCCTGGTGTTGTGGCGCTCATCTCACTTTATAGGCCGAGGGAGCCGGTGTTTGTCCGCAGACAGCTTCTGGGTCATGTGGCCAGCATGACTAAGCCGCTTCTGGTGAACCAGAGCAGCACACGGAAATGCCGTTTACCTTCCTGCCAGAGTGGTACCTATTTATCTACTTGCACTTTGACGTGCTTTCGAACTGCTAGGTGGGCAGGAGCTGGGACCGAACAACAGCACAAAAGCTGGATATAAAAGTTTGCAATCCCTCGCCAGGGGACCTGCAAACTTGAAAATGAGCAGAAGATGAAGAAGGGGCTCGTTTCACTTTTCTCAAAGTCAAGAATCACCTTTTGCAGCCTTTGTTCAAAGGAGCGTTTAGATGTGGCGTGTTGTTAAAACACAGCAATTAAAATAATCCAACGCAGCTTCTTCCTTGAATGTGGTCCAAACATCCCTTGGAAAAATACTGTTGGGAAAGCACCAAAATTCCTGCCACCCTCTATATTTAAAACAGAGAAAGATTTCATCACTGCCCCTTAAGACCCTTCGATCATATTTTCCTTAAGTAGTTGATTAGCATCTCTTGGGAAACGTTTATCTGTTTTTGCCATCTGTCTCACACTTTCCCATGTGAACATTTTTTTTTAAGGGCGAAGGAAGCAGCAACATGTTTACCCACCAGCTGCCGGTGAAAAGGGAAAGAGTGCCTGCCATTTGAAAAGCGGGGGGGGGGGGGGTCAAGTGCCTAACGTGACTCTATTTTTAAAATGCACAATAATAACAAGGAACATACATCTTATAGACTTTGCAAGAAAATCAGAAAGAGGCATCACTGGATCAGACCAAAGCAGTGGCCAGCCTAGGGCTCTCAAATTTCAGTGGCGCCCGGGACAGTGCCAAAATTCAGTGCCCCCCTGCCTCTCGCTCTCCATTCTAAATAATACTTGTGGCATCCCCGAGGCTCTGCACCCAGTGCAGCCACACCAGTCGTGCTCCCATAATATTCTGCTTTTGACCAAAGGCCCCGTTGTCACCAAACATTTAAAGCATGTAACAGAAGGTAAGGCTAGATTATAAGCTACCTGGGGTTGAATTGAGCCATGGCAGAAACTGCACCACCACAGCAAGGAGCCAATGGTAATGAGAACGGTCTGTGTGAGAGTATGGGTGTGTGTAAAAAGAAGTTGAGATTTTCAAAATGCCAGGGGACACTTAGGAGGTCTAATGTTTGCAATGTGCTCCTTTTCCTCACTTCAGACGCCCAGCCACCCTGCGTCCAGCCAAGAACAATTCACAGACACTCGCACAGTCTCTCGGAAAGATTCCTTCGATAGCCCATGGACCCAGTTTGGTGACCATCTGCCCAACTTTGTGAGCTTCCTGAGACTCCCAACCAAAAGGTCAAGCAATGGTAGGAATTATTGTGGGAATGTTCAGAGATGCAGGAGAGGATATATTGTTTAATGATATCCTTCCTAACTTACGTTCACAAGTTCTATATCTTAGCAGAGTAACATTCCACTTTAAACGCACAGCGGTTTGCTTGTTGCAGGCTCGTCTGGGCCTTGATTCCTGGTAAGATCCCTTCTTATCCCTCTTAAAATGAATAGACACGGCAGTCTTGTTCAAGTCAATATAAAAGTAGTTTACTCACAATCATTCAGTTCATGGTTGGATTCCTGAAGGCAGACTTAGGTTACAAAACTATCTACACATGTGGAACTATCCCATAAGGGAGTTAGTTCCTAAGTGACTGCGAACAGGCAGCCCCTTCTGCTCACACATAGAACAGCAAAATGGAGCAGAGCAAAAGGAAGAGAACATGTGCTTCCTGCGTTGCTCTTGTAACCCAGGCCGACTAGTCCAGATTAAGCCACACCCACCGCTAGTCACAGCTCAGGAGGAAACAGGAGGTTTTCTCCTGACTGCATACAAAGCATCCCCTAGCATGTTCATTCTAGGAATGTTGTACTTGACTGCTATGTGTTTGACATCCCACAGTTATCACATTCACAAGACCCAGTCTGGGGTTCCCCCGCTCCAACCTGCCAGGTTTGGTTAGGTTTAGAGCAGGGGTGAGGGACCTGTGGCCTTCCAGAAGCTGTTGACCCTGAACCTGCAAGATCACCTTATCCCTTTCATGCCCTCTTGACCTCTTTGATCTGCAGAATTGGCACTCTTAGAGATGCTGCATGACGCCTGCTCCTCAAAGCAGTTTACAAAAATAATAAAGCAATAAAACTATTAGTAAAAACAACTTTCAGCAGGGAGTGATAGTTAGATGAATGTACGGTAGCCTTCCTAACCCAGGATGGGAATAAGATGGAGATAGTTGCCAGGTTTCTGCAATGTGCAGTGAAGATTTGTGAATGTCATAGAACAGTGTTTTAGTTGTTAGATGCAGATTTTGCTGAGTGATTTTATGACTTTCAGAATTCTGTCTATGTGCCAATAAAAGTTCTGAGATTGAGATGGGTAGTAAAAACCATTAAAACAATGAGAAAATCAAAACCAGCAAACAGAAGCTGCTGTTCTGAGCAAAGTTCTTGATCTTTTTCAGACCGGAAGAATTCCAAGGATCTCACACCTTTCAGTGGAATGGATTTGCCCATGCAGACCATCTCGGGCAGACATGTAACTGCACCCAGAAACAGTGTTTACCATGGGTTCCAACCTTACAGAGACACCAGGAAGGGAAGCAGCCCCGGGGGCCCTAGCCAGGACAACAGCATATCACTCCAAGAAGCCATAGCATTCTTCCCTTCCTTGCAAAGGTTGTCAGCGAGGGGTGACCGGGTCTCAATGTCAACACTGCTTCTCCATAAGCCACTCTCTGCATTCCCAGCATTGCAGAAGAAGCTCAAAAGCTTGCTGGAGAAAGAATGGGAGGAAGAGAACTCAAAGCCTCTCAAACTGCTGCCTGAGATTAAGCCTGAAGAATTTTTGAGCTGCAGGTTAGCAAAAAACAAAAAAGGGCAACCCTCAAGTAGAACCTGCACTCTGTGATGCCTACATCGCTTTAGCCCTATCCAGGTGTTCACAAGTAAGGACAACACGATAGTGGGGAACAGGCTACCCCTGTTGCCCAACTCAGGTTGGAGAACAGTGCAAAGTCTCCCTGTGTGGTGACAGAACTCTGATTTTAAAGGGTTATGCATTGCACCCTCATGCAGTGCTCTTTTTTCTTTAAAAAAATATTTAGGGGTACTCTCATTTTCCTACTCATATTGAAATACTGCACCTCAAGGAGGCCTAACTTAGATTCACAAAATGTTTAAGGGTACGCGTCCCCCTGTGTTCGCCCAGAAAAAAATCACTGCCCTCATGCATCAGCATTATTTGACCTCGGGTCCCCAGATGTTGCTGAACTACAACTCCCACCCTGTGGGTGGGGCCACAGCTGGTGCACTCACCCCTTTCCCCCTGCTGACGTGTTTTATATACTCATGAGCATAATAGCAGAACAGGGCTTTTCTTTTCCCTTAATCCGTTTCTTGATAAGCATGGGGAGATGAGCAAAGAGGGTGAACTGATTACTGTTTTGGTGTTGTGAATCACTCCTTGACTAGCAACCTTGCCTTGCGGGCTCACCAATCTAGGCTGCTCTATGGTGCCAACTCTCAGTAGGCACTGTAAAAAAGGCAGGAAGAGGATAGCCGGCTGGCCAACAGCTCCAGTTTTGACTCCCTGGCTGTGTGTCTAATCCAGCCTTCCCCAACCTGATGCTCTGCAGATGTTGCTGGACCATCGTTCCTGAACATGGGCCATGTTGGCTTGGGCCAATGGCAGGTTGGAGAAGGCTGCTCAAGTCTCTCCTGTTTTCTGCAGCTCTTTGGCTTATTTCCCTGCCAAGGTCCTCAAACCAGTTCATCTTCTGCATCTCACCCAGTCTGTTTGCCTACTTCCTGTTGTGCTTACTCTGCTCATCCAGTTACACCACCTGCCCCCTAGCTTATCAGGAGGAGGATTGGAGCAAGGTGGGAGAGCCCCTCAACTATCCTTGGGCCCTGCATATTGGCCCTGTTTTGTCAGATGCTGGCACCAGCCACATCTCTTAGAACAGCGGTGGGGAACCTTCATCCCTCCAGATGCTAACGAACTATAAATCCCATCATCCTTGGCCTTTGGGAGAGTTGTAGTTCAGCAAAATCTGGAGAACCAAATGTTTCCCCAGCCCTGACTTAGAATTAATGGTGAAGTAGAGAATTCAGGGCAGTAGATTTTTTCCTCTTAACAAATGTGACTTACAAGCATCCCTCCCTCTTATTTTCTTTGCACAGGTACCTCCGTTTGTCCCAGAGCAATATTGATACCTTGCTGAAGCTGTGCAAGGAAGCTGGGATTTATATTGACTTGCATCCTCATATGAAAGCATCAGACATTGATGTTTGTAAGGTGCTCTCATCCACTCCTAGCAAGGTATTGTAGATTGGGCCTGTTGCCCAATTTTGGTTGCATTGCTTAGAAGACAGCCTCTTAGGGGAACATTTCCACCGCCACCTATACTTGGAAGAGCCGGTCGCTTTTTGGAGTCAAAACAGTGTGTGAGGCATGTGTTCTCGTAATGCAATGATAAAATGGTTCTTGCACTCACTATGAGTCAAACTGTGAGCTGAAATGGTTTTTATCAAAAATAATAGTTATTCCCTCCTCCCCCCCCCCAAAAAAGCAGAACAGGTCAAAAATTGATCTAAAAGTCAAATTAAATGATGCATTTTCCCATTCATCTGCATTTGCTCTGGTTGCCTTGAAATATTTGGAATGGCAGCTCTTTGCTTTAAGGTTGTTGTTTCTTGCTGTAAACTAGAACTCATATCCTAGAAGGCACAATGACCACTGACTAGCTTGTTTTAGACAACCTAAGTGAGGCCTTTTTATCTTTCAATGGGAAGCCTCAGTCCGTAGGGAGAAATGGGTAAATGTAACTCGGGTAGCGTCCACCCGTCAGTTTATTCCACTGCCCCCAACATTTCTCTACCTGTTAATTTTGGCATTTGAGCTTTCACATGACATAAAAGCCACTTCTAGAAAACTAATGGAATATGAGGAAATTTTAGTGCTCATTTCCATGTTATTCAATTTCAGAGAAAAATCTGTTTGCAGCCCCCTTAACCTGCAGTGTGTTGTTGTGTTGGCATCTGTCTGTCTTGAGATACAATGGAGTGTGCTTCTGGGGGTCAAGACAAACCGCTGGAGAATCACAGTGCCCACTGTGGCTGCAGAGACCGGTAACTCATAACGGCTGCCTCCCACGTTGTTTTTGCTGCATTAGCAGCACCAAACGGACCTCACTGGGGCACAAACCTGGGCAGTGTGTATGGAGGTCCTGGGCTGCCCAGACATTAAGACATCCATCTTGGCCTCATTGATGTGGTCCAAAGGAAAGCAGAGCAATACGTTTGGCACAAGCTTAGCTGCAGGAGTTGCCGGAAGGAGACATACAAGGTATCATCCAACTGTCTTAGGGACTCCACTCTGGATTTGTGTAGGGCATACTCCTTAGCCTTTTCATCTCCTGAAGATGTCCCACAAGGCAGTGGGTAAAAAAATTCCCCAGGGTTTACTCCCAAAGCCTGTCTCACAGATGATCTAGCTGCAAGGATGGAGAAAAGTGACAAAATTTGGGACAGTAAACCAGCATACATTTTCACCCTCCTGTTTTCATGGGGAAACAGAAGCATGCATGTGCAGCAAGGCAGAAGTAGCAGCAACATTGTCTACGAAGTTGACATTGTGTCACATCAGACCCACTGGTAGAAATGAAATTCAGTATGGTGTGCAGATTTATTGGTCAAAAAGTGCACTTGTTTCCATGTTATTCAGTTCCAGAAAGGGGAGGGGGGACATTTGCAGACCCTTTAACCTAGAAAAGCATGGGAGAGAAGCGACAAAAATTAGGGTTCTTTCCTGTTGAATTCATGGGGGGAATCATGGGGGAACAGAAGCATGTTGGTGTGGAAAAGGTGTAGCAACGTTGTCAATGATGTTTGTTGCTGTGTCACACCACGCCCACTGGTGTGAATGGAATTTAGTGTAACGTGCCGGTATACCAGTCAAATGCCACAGTTCCATAACACAACATATACTGAAGGGTGAAAGGAACTGTTACACGCTACCCCAATCTCTGAATGGGGTGAAATTCCAGGGATCGCAGGTGCTTAGGGTTTGGTTTCCCTGGAATGAAGGTCAGCAGAGACTGTGGTGTCTTTAAGATATATGGTTTATTTACACCTATATACAACCTGGGGCACGTGGGTGGCACTGTGGGTTAAACACAGAGCCTAGGGGTTGCCGATCAGAAGGTCGGCGGTTCGAATCCCCACGACAGAGTGAGCTCACGTAGCTCGGTCCCTGCTCCTGCCAACCTAGCAGTTCGAAAGTATGAAGTGCAAGTAGATAAATAGGTACTGCTCCGGCGGGAAGGTAAACGGTGTTTCCATGCACTGCTCTGGTTCGCCAGAAGCGGCTTAGTCATGCTGGCCAAATGACCCGGAAGCTGTATGCCGGCTCCCTCGGCCAATAAAGCGAGGTGAGCGCCGCAATCTCAGAGTCTTCCGTGACTGGGCCTAATGGTCAGGGGTCCCTTTACCCCTTTACCTTTATATACAACCTGAGCCTAAGATGGAGGGGTTCACAGCATTAATCCTCCGGGAGACCTTGCTTCTCCATTGGTCATAGCTTGGATTCCACACAAATGAAGATTGGGCCTGTGCCTCCAGCTTCTCAGCTTACAGCCTGCTTCCAGCTCTGTTCACCCACAGCTACAGGAAGTTGGTCTTCATTAGGCTGATAGTTAGTGCTTAAAAAAATGTTTAGGGGTACTCTCATTTTTCTACTCATATTGAAACATTGTCCCTCAATGAGGCCAAACTTAGATTCACAAAATATTTAGGGATATGCGTACCCCTGTGTGTCCCCCCCCCCCAGAAAACAGCAATGCTGATAGTAAGGCCAGACTCCATGCAGGTTTGGGCAAAATGGCTGGTGTGTCTCTGAAGAGCTTCCTCGGAGCGCCCTGCCTGCAAACACCATCTCTCGGATAAAGGACTTGCCACACTTTTGTCTTGGCACGGAGACATGCCAGCTTGAACAGACCCCCATCACTCCTTGAATGAATGTACACGCTGTCTTCCATTGAGCTTAAGGCATATGAGAGCGAGGAGGAGGAGGATATTCCAAAGAGAGTTGGCACGAGAACACAGCCCTGTTTCACACCGCTCTTTATCGAGAAGGCATCCGAGGACAAGCCATCATGCTGGATGGTGCCACACATGTTCTTGTGGAAGAACACAATAATCTTGTGGAGCTTAGGTGGGCATCCTACCCAGTACCAGATTTACGAATAAGCTAAACAAGCTATAGCTTAGGGTCACACTCTCTTGGGGACCCCAAAAAATTTAAAGAAAAAAACAACTGGATGTACATTTCCAAAATATAAGATAAAAAAACAAATAAAATAAAACCTACATACAGCAACAGTGGCAAATGGCTTTAGATACCTATTAGGTCCATAAATTACCACACAGCATATATTCAACACAAAAAACAGTGACAATTTGTTGTTGACAAAGGACAGCTGGACATATAAAGAGCCTCATTACCTTCAGTAGCTTAGGGCCGCATCAAACCTAAATCTGGCCTGATCCTACCTTATTGAGCAGCGTGAAGAGTCCTTTTCAGCTGATGAGGTCAAAGGTCTTTCTCAGGTCTATGAAGGTGATGTATGTATACATGGAACCCTTGGAACCGCACCTCTGCATAATAAGATGCGGTCATATATTTCAACTGCATAAATTTAAAATTAGTCATGACTTAATGTGTGGGCTATGGTTTTTAACAAAAGAAGAAGAAGAAGGAAAGGAAAGGAAAGGAGAAAGAAAGAGGAAAGAGGAAAGGAAAGGAAAGGGAGAGGGGGGAGGGAGGGGGGAGAGAGAAATCAAGTTTTTAATTTTCAACTAGGCTGGGTCAAAGCCACGTGTTGTGGCATCTGTGCATCATCTGCCCATTCCCCATTGCTGAAAATCAACACGGTCCACAATTTTGGGCTAGGTGTCTGAAATCTGTTGGCAAAGCATCACAACACAGTCCCCACTCCATTACACTTGGACGATCCAGGTATATAAAACACTTCGAAAATGAAAGATTCCATGAAACTACAGTGTAACTACGGGGAAGTCGACATTGGCGTAAATATCCGCTGTTCTTGCATATCACCACCAGATGGGGCTCAATAATAGCCGAAATGTTCTATTACCTGCACATACATGCACATCTATACCTCTCACTCAAAAATCTATTATATACACCATTTTCTAATATACTATATTAGCATTCCTCAAAAAAAGAAAAAAGAAATCCCACTTGTCTCCTCTCATGGTTCACATTTTTTAAACCACTAATGTGACAACTTAAGGACTTTTGGAAATCTTAATGACTTCAAAAAAAATGTATATTAAAATCTGCCGTAGAGTACTGGGAGACTTAAGAATAATGTTCAGGGATGACTGTATCAGTTTTACAGTATTGCAGTTATCAATAGAGTGAGCAGTTCTGTAAAATCCATTTGTGTGTTTCTGTGCCAGTTACTTTATCAAATCTGAAAAGGCAAAAAGCTGCCTAACGCCACATTCAAGCCACACATTTAAAGCACTATGACACCGCTTTGAGCAGGCATGGGTCCCCACAAAGAATTTTGGAAGCTGTTATTTGTTAAGGGGGCTGAGAGTTGTTAGGAGAACCCTTATTTCCCTCCACAGAGCTACAATTCCCTGCATGATTTAACACACACACCCTTCCCAGGGAATTATAGCTCTGTGAGCCCCACTCCGCAACTTCACATTCTGTGTGCAGGGTGGCAAAAGTTGGAGGACACATTTTGGCCTCATAGGAAGAATGCTGTGGCAAGAATATTCTGGCTCCAACCATCAGCTAGAGCAGGGGTCAGGAACCTTTTTCAGCCGTGGGCCAGTCCGCTGTCCCTCAGACCGTGTGGTGGGCCAGACTATATTTGGGGGGGGGGATGAACGAATTCCTATGCCCCACAAATAACCCAGAGATGCAATTTAAATAAAAGCACACATTCTACTCATGTAAAAACACCAGGCAGGCCCCACAAATAACCCAGAGATGCATTTTAAATAAAAGGACACATTCTACTCATGTAAAAACACGCTGATTCCCGGACCATCCGCGGGCCGGATTGAGAAGGCAATTGGGCCGCATCCGGCCCCCGGGCCTTAGGTTGCCTACCCCTGAGCTAGAGAGTATGATTCCCTACTTCCTGCCAATAAGAACACTTATAAGAATTTTGTCTCTAAGATCTAGTGCCTGTCTTTGCTTTCCCCACCCTCCTTCCAAATACCTTTTCCTTTTGTGCTATGTCTTTTTTTCTTTAAGATTATAAACCTGAGGGCAGGGACCCCCTTATTACCGATCGTTTGTGAGCCACCGCGAGAGCCCTTTTCTGCTAAAGAGTGGGGATTATATATTTTAAATAAATAAATGAAGTACGCAATATCTGCTGACAGGTAGCTAGCAGTGGCATGAAACTTCTCCAGAATGCCAGGTATTAAACTGACACAATGCCCACACTGGCTGCCCTGCACCAAGAGCAAGTTTTCGTGGGGGTTATTTCCAGTGGCCTCTGCATGATGCAAGCAATATGTGATGCGGTTCTTAAGGCACGTGTCTCTGTGAATACTTCACACACACAC